TAACTGGGAAAAAAATATTTGCAAGTCATACATCCGACAAAGGGTTAATATCAGTAATATATAAAGAACTCACAGAACTCAACAACAAAAAATCAAACAACCTGATCAAAAAATGGGCAGGAGACATGAACAGACATTTATCCAAAGAAGATACATGGATGGCCAACAGGCACATGAAAAGATGTTCATCATCACTGATCATCAGGGAAATGCAAATCAAAACTACACTAAGATACCACCTTACACCCATTAGAATGACAAAAATAGCAAAACAAATAGTAAAAAGTGTTGGAGGGGTTGTGGAGAAAAAGGAACCCTCATACGCTGCTGGTGGGAGTGCAAACTGGTGCAGCCACTATGGAAAACAGTATGGAGATTCCTCAAAAAATTAAAAATAGAACTACCATACGACCCAGCTATCCCACTACTGGGTATCTATTCAAAGAGCTTGAAATCAGCAATTCCAAAAGTCCGATGCACCGCAATGTTCATTGCAGCATTATTTACAATAGCCAAGATGTGGAAGCAACCTAAGTGCCCATCAACAGATGATTGGATAAAGAAGATGTGGTATATATATATACAATAGAATACGACTCAGCCGTAAAACAGAACAAAATCGTCCCATTTGCAACAACATGGGTGGACCTTGAGGGAATTATGTTAAGTGAAATAAGCCAGATAGAGAAGGACAATCTCTGTATGACTCCACTCATATGAGGAATTTAAAAATGTAGACAAAGAGAACTGATTAGCGGCTACCAGGGGAAAGGTGGGGTAGGGGGTGGGCACAAAGGGTGAAGGGGTGCACCTACAACACAACTGACAAACAATAATGTACAACTGAAATTTCACAAGATTGTAACCTATCATTAACTCAATAAAAATTTTTTAAAAAGATTAAAAAAAAATTTGTGCCTGATTGAATAGTCATTTTCACTGCTACCATTTATAAACTACCTACTATGTATGCTCCAGGCACCTTATATACACACAGTATGTCTAATTCTTACGATAGCCCTGCAAGGTTGTTGTCTGATCTCTGTTTGGTGAACTCTGAAAATCAGAGACGTGAATTCCTTTGCTTAACACCACACAGCTACATCTCTTTGGGATCCAGATTCAAAGTGCAACTGTCTGTCTCCAAAATCTCATTCACCAGCTTGCCTCCCCACCAAAAAATACACACACACATGCATACGCACACATGCACACACACCCCCGCACACACACATATATAATAGAATATTATTCAGCCATAAAAGCAATGAAGTGCTGACACATGCTACAACATGGATGAACCTCAGAAACATCACGCTAAGTGAAAGAAGCCAGGCATAAAAGGTCACATATTGTGTGATTCCATTCATACGAAATATCCAGAATAGGTAAATGTCTACCTATAGACAGACAGCAGAGTGGGAGTTGCCAGGGGCTGAGGGGAGAGGGGAATGGAGTGAAACTGCTTAATGCGTATAGGGTTTGCTTTTGAGGTGACAAAAACGGTTTGGAACTAGATGGAGGTAGTGATTGCACAACACTGAAAATATAACAAATGCCACTGAATTGTACACTTTAAAATGGCTAATTTTACGTTATGTGAATTTTGCTTCAATAAGATTAAAAAAAAACCCTCCACACTAGCGTCTCTTCCTCATTGATGAGCATAATTTTACCATTAGTGATTTACTCCTTTGAGTAGTGAAGCCTCCAGTACCTGGACCCAACCTTTTCTCCCCTGGAGAACTCTGCCTTGAGAATTCCAGGGCAGAAAGGGAGGAAACAGCAGCATGACTCAGAGAGTGAGCACTGGCGTCAGGCTGCCTGAGTTCAATTCTGGGCACCTCATGTCCTCATCTGTAAAATGGGGATGTTGATGTCACCGACCTCACCAGGTTGCTGTGAGGACAGAACAAAAACACGTGTGTAAAGTATCTGGGCACATGTGACGTATTCACTAGGTTGTATTGCGAGGGCAGCCACCTTCTCCTACTATCATCCATGCCACAGATATTTACTGATCACCTACTATGTGCCGGGCACTCTGCTAGGCCCTGGGGACGCATCTATAAGCAAGAACAACGGTAAAATTCCTTTCTTCTTGGAGCTCACCTTCCAATTACAGGATAAGACAACAGACACAGTAACTTAAATGTATATGTTAGACGGTGGTATATGCTAAGGAGAAAACAATAAGTAACGGATGAGAAATAGAGAGCTTTGCGGAAAGGTTAAAATTTTTAAAAAATTTTATTAAGGTCATATTGGCTTTTAAGGTTGTGTACATTTCAGGTGTACATTACTATATTTCAGCTTCTGCAGAGATTCCATCATGTTGAAAGGTTACAACAGGATGGCTTCCCTGAGTGATGACCCGAGGGAAGCGAGGCATATTTGTCTCCCGCTGCTGCCATACAAGGCACTGTGAACTCAGTGGCTTAAAACAACACAAATGTAGTATTTTACAGTTCTTGAGGGCAGGCATTCAAAAACGGGTCTCAGCGGGCTAAAGTCAAGGTGTTGGCAGAGCTGTGCTCCTTCTGGAGGCTCCAGGGGAGAATCCATGCCCCATCTCTTTCAGCTTGTAGAGGCTGACCACTTCCTTGGCTCATGGCCCCACATTACTCCAACTTCTTTTTCCGTCATCACACCTCCTGCTCTTTGACTTTCCTGCCTCCCTGTTTTCCTTATAAAGGCCTTTGTGATTCCATTGGGCCCACCTGGATAATCTCCCATCAGAATAATCCCCTATCTCAAGATCCTTAATTTGATCACATCTGCAGAGTCCCTTTTGCCATATGAGGTGACATATTCATGGGTCCTGGGGATTAGGATGTGGACATCTTTGGGGAGCCATTATTCTGTCTACCATATGAAGCATAGTATCTAGAGGAAGTGGGAACAGCAAGTTCAAAGGCCCTGAGGCACGGGTTGCCTGGCACGTTTGAGGGAGACGGAGGCCAGTAAGGATGCAGCAGAGTGGGCAAGGGGAGCGTGATCTCTCACGAGGTCAGAGAGGTGAAGAAGGTGGAGCGGCTTGTGCAGACCCTAGTGGGTCCCAGTGAGGACCTGGCCTTTACCTGAGTGAGGAGAGAGAAGGTGGGACGTGGTCTTACAGGTTTTAACAGGCTCCCTCTGGCTGCTGCATCGAGAAGAGACTATCCACAAGGGGGCTGCTGCAATATCTAGGTGAGATAATGGGGGCTGGACCATGGTACTAGAGGGAAGTAATGAGATGGGTCTTATTCTGGATTTTGAAGGTTGAGTCACAAAGAACCATTTAAGGTCAAAAATGGAGAGTCACAGAAAGCGGGGGGAATCAAGGATGACTCCAAGGGTTTTGGCCTGAACTGGAAGAACTAAGGTACTCTTTAGGGTGGGGAAGACCACAAAAAGGTCAGACTTGGGGCTGCTGGTGAGACAAGGACTTTGCTTTGAAACACTGTTTTTATCCAAATGGAGATGCTGAGCCGGAAGTCAAGTGTATGAGTCTGCAGCTTAGGAGAAGGGTCTGGGGGAGTCGTTTGGGAAACAACAGAGAGGTGGGATTTAAAGCTGTGAGCCTGGAGGAGATCTCTGAGGCAGCACATGCAGAGACGAAAGGACAGAGGACTGAGACCTGGGCCCCTCTGATGAGGAGGAATGAGTGATGGAGGAAGCAGGTGAGGGCGGGGTCCTGCAAGCCAAGTGTGCCAAGTGCCGCAGGCTCTGTCCACAATAAGTGTGGAACGAGGAGCTGGTGGAGGGGAGGACGACCCCTCTTGCTTTCCAGGGGCGTTCTCTGGCAAACAGTCTCTATGGGAGCCAATCTAAGGGAGTCGGACCTGCTGAGGCGGCCCTGCTCCTGTGAGCCAGAAGCTGTCTCCTTCCAGGAAGGTGGAACGGGTCTGCTCTGGAGGCGCGGCCTCTACTCTCCCAGCATAATTTCCCTCGGCTCTCAACTCCAGCTGGGCCTCTAAGACTCAGCTCAGTTACCTCCCTTCTGCCAGGTGGCTATGCTGACCCCCCAAGACTGAGCTGGGTGCCCCTCCAACCAGCTCCCACAGGACCCACTGCTCCCTGCTGGAGAACTCCCCACACCAAGCCTGCTTACATGTCTCAGCCTCCGAACAGGCTAGGCACACCCTGGGTTTCTGGGAAGCTTCCTTATTTCTGCATCCCCAATGCCTAGTGTGGTGCAAGGCATCTAAGAGACTCCCGTAAATGCTTGTCAACAAACACTCAGAAGTCCATTCTGCTGGTGTCTGGCCACGCCTGGCCCTCCTATGCAGAAGCTCCAGCCCCTAGACTTCTTGGGAAACCTAAGGCGCTGGGGGATGCCGTCCCACCCTTGGCAGCTCAGCAGGGACCCTCACAGCACTTGGCCTACTGACTCTCACTGACTGTGTGTTAGATGCCAAGGAAAAGGTCACGGACGTGGGCCCAAGTCCGAGTCCTGGCATTCTCAAGTAGTCAGGACTGCAGTCTCCCGTGTCTAAAATGGAAATGATACACGCTTATCCTTGAAGTCACTCCTCATCAGTTGTGACAACATTCGGGAAAGTGTTTGGCAAACTGTAAACCAGCCAGGCAAATCGGAGGCACGTTGAGGCTTTTCCTTGGCAGCTGATCCTGGGCACATGACTGGGCCTGTATGACCCATCCCACGCCACGTGAGGCCTTCTCCTTGGTTCTTCTCAAGCCACTGAGGACAAGCAGCATCTTCCTCAGACAACAGGAACTGGGGAATAAGTGGGGTCTGGCCCAGCGGAAACTCTAACACACATATGGACGTGCACAGTGTTTCCAGTGACTAAGGGCCACACGAAGCAGTTGGCTGGACCCTTCCTGAAACTTGTCCCAGAATGGGCTCAGCTGCGGAACTGCTCTGACCAGAGCTGCCCCGACTCTGGCCATCCTTGGCCCCACTGTCCCGCTTTTCTGGGGGCGAGCCCTCTCCTCCCCTCAGGGCAGGGACCCAGGCTCCCCCTTTCCCTCGGCAGCAGGCGACACACAGGAGGTTCAGCATGCAGGGTAGTTTATTGATATTTGCTTCCCCAAATAACCTTTTCTCACCAGTGAAGGTTGAAAGAATGGGGGTGGGGAGGCAGGGAGGGCGTACAGATGAAAGCCAAAAGGCACATCTTGAATGTGCTGGGATGGGTTCAAAACAGGTTGGTCTGAGACTGACAAGCCCCCATTTCAGAGGCTCGGAAAGCTTGGGCCTGGGGCCGGCCTCGTGGCCGAGTGGTTAAGTGTGCACCTTCCGCTTCGGCGGCCCAGGGTTTCGCCAGTTCAGATCCTGGGCACGGACATGGCACTGCTCATCAAGCCATGCTGAGGTGGCATCCCACATGCCACAACTAGAAGGACCCACAACTAAAAATATACAACTGTGTACTGCAGGGATTTTGGGAGAAAAAGGAAAAAATAAAATCATTAAAAAAAAAGAAAGTTTGAGCTCAAAAACGTGCACTCATTCAGCCAAATCCCGTCCATCTGCTGGAGAACAGGACGCTACACCCGTGCAGGTCTTCTGCTGGTCTTCTTCTGAGGCCGGGCATCTTTCAGACCTGGCTGTTGCACCAGTGAGACCACGAACACTGCAGTGGTCCTGGCGTCTTGAACTAAACACACAGGGGAGGCCTGACCTGGCTTCATCGGCACAGGCAGAGACAAAGGTGACTGGTTAGCAGGAGCTCCCCAGTTCACAGATCGGGGGAGAGGGCGGTGCTTGTCAGTATTAGATAATGACTCTAAAATGTAGTGTAAACCCCACAAGGTGGGTGACTAAAGGCTGGACACAATGATAAGTAAGAAAGTGTAACTCTGTGAGCTGACTCGACTTCTGAACAGACTTCTAAGACCATCTCTGCTCACAGGGTGTGTGCTCCCCTTGGCTCTAAACCGTCACAGAAACAGAAGGAAGAGGAAGTGGTGGTCTGCCCAGATGGGGCCTGGGGACTGTCATGACTGTCCAGATTGCTATGGTCAGAGGGCATCCCAGCCAGACCCTGAGCCCAGGGTGGAGCGAGGGAGCGGGACGCCAGGTCCCAGGAGGGCTGCCCGAGGCCCTCGCCCACCTGCCCGGCTCTGCAGGCTCCTCGTCTACCGCTTCTTCTTGGCCTCCTTCTTGGGCCTCTTGTTGGCGGAGGGAGCAGCAGCCTTGGGCTTCCTCGTCACCTCTGCACTTCTGGGCTCCAATGGTTCTGCCTCCTGTGTGGTGATAGAAAGAAGAGTCCTACTTAGACCAACTAAGCCAACCCTGGCAAAATGAGAGCATGTCGGACAGGACTTTGCACACTGAAGCAAGCCTCAGAAACACAAGGGATGGAAACCACGATTGCCAGGACCCAGAATCCACACGTCTGCAGGACCACCCCTGGGAGCAGGGCAGTTCTCAGTGAAGAATGAGGGAGGAGGCCCGAGGGGAGGAGGCAGTCTTTGGACTGGCTGGAATCCAGGTTCCTCCAAGTGACCTTGTAAGCAACTCACTTCCCCTTTCTGTGTCTTGGTTTACCCACCTGAGAAGTGGAAATAGTGATGCACACCTTGGAGGGCTGACGTAAGGAGGCAAAAATGCATGGACAGCACCCAGTGAATGCGGCTGCACCCAGGGGCTGGCTGACCACCCTACAGAGACTAGGCAGAATTTGGGTGAGGAGCAGCTGCGGGGCCGGCGTCCTGTGGCTTGCTCTCCTTCTGGCCCTGCTGTTCTCCTCCTCTCATTCAACCCACAGAATGCCAGGGCTGGGAGCAGGGAGCATGCCAGCCGGCAGGTGGGCAGCCACCACACTGTGTTCCGTGGGGCCTGGCAACGGTGCCCTGTGGGGGAGGGCAGAGGGCAGCCTCAGGGCAGAACTCCAGACCCTCCCTACAACTGGGGCGGCTCTGACTTTTATCTGTCGTGTAGATTGTGATTTGTTCCCTGAAAGATTTGGTTTAAACAAAGGGTCTGCTGCTAAAAAAGCTTCAAAACCGCAGATCTAGTCTGGCCTTCACTGTGCTGATAACAAAAATGGGCTCTGGGGAGGGGACTCGGCCTGCCCCGGCCACAAAGGCTCAGGTCAGAGAAGAATCAGATGTGGACTCAGTCCTATCGAGTACTGCCTCCTCCCAGGTGGTAAACCACACTGGGCCTGGCCGGCAGGACATTGGCAAGGCCTGCCTGGCCCAGAGAACACCAACCACAGCCCCCGGGCCTAGTCCGGCCCACAGGTAGACTTCATTTGACCTGTACTGTTTATTTTTAAGAATTTGAGCCAATTGGGAGAATTCTCATTCAATCTGGATTCCTAACTTTTCTTGAAAACTTTAAACATCCGGTGACACTGGCCCCGAATCCCCTCATGGAAGACATGGGCTGAGCAGTGACTGCCCCTTCATTCAGGTGCCCACGACCCCCACAGCCCCGCCACCCCCAGCACCAGAGTAAGGAAATGTTTCTCGCTTTCTGTGTTCTTTTATTAAAAATGGGAAAACAAAAAGCAGACTAAGAATACTAGGAGGGAGCACACTTTTTCTAGAAGAGAAAACTATTTCATGTTTAGTTGGCCTACTCCCAGCTTCCAGCTTGCTTTCCTCTAGCCCTCCCTGCTCCTGTCGGCCCCTGGCCCAAGCCTCCAGCCTCGTCAGACAGAAGAGGCAGGACTGTGGTTGGAAGGGCTGCTCCCCACCTAAGGCCCAGTCCAGAGCTCCGTCAGCTCCCTCTTATCACCAGCACTGTCTGCTCTCCACCCTGCCAGCCCACCAGCCTCGATAGCAGATATAAAGGCCCAGCGCGGTCCCAGGCACCCATGGGTGATCTTCCCAAGACAATGAGCCCTCCACACCCTGGCCAGGTCTCTGCTCTGGACTCCCCCCAGCCTGTCCCCTGTGCTGATACTGTTTATGTAACTTAGCAAAAAAGAAAAAAAAGTTAGCCCACTAGAAAAACAAACAAAACAAAACCTCCGAGGAGCCAGTGTGTCAAGTGCACAGGCTGCCGGCTGCAGAGCCCAGCGGGAAGGCTACTGTTTAAGGCAAGCCCCACAGGGCACAACGCCTTTGGGGACCCTGGGAGCTGGAAACTGCCCCCAGTGCAGTACCTGTGAGGCCAGTGGAAAGCAGTCAGGCCTGAGTGCCCTGGGCAAACAGGCCCTGACATGGTTCATGCACGGGAAACCTGCTGAGGCCTGCCAGGGTCTCCAGGGATGGAGCCCCATGAGCTCAAAGCTGGCTGCCTCCTCCGGTTTCAGTGGGGGCTGGTTCAGAATCCAAAGAGATGGTGATACCCAGCTGCCATCCCCAGGGCTTCCCTCTCTCTATAGACCCTCTCCCGGATGCCTCATCCTTTCTGGCATCTCCCAGACCTCTCTCCTGATCCAGCTGTCCGTCAAATAACTGGGACAGGCACCTCCCAGGCACATGCAACTCAACCAAGCAGACCAAACAGGGCCCCTTCTCCAGCAGGCCTGCCTACCCACCAACAGGCAGACCAACCAGAGTCCCACTGACCCCACCCACCATCTCCCTCCTCTCCATCGTCCAATCAGTCACCAAGTCCTATTGATTCAACATCCTCTTTTTTTTTCTTAAGATTAGCCCTGAGCTAACATCTGTTGCCAATCTTTTTTTTCCTTCTTCTCCCCAAAGCCCCCCAGTACACAGTTGTATATTTCGGTTGTGAGTGCCTCTGGTTGTAACATGTGGGATGCTGCCTCAGCGTGGCTTGATGAGTGGTGCCAGGTCCATGCCCAGGATCTGAACCAGCGAAACCCCGGGCCGCTGAAGCGGAGGGCGTGAACTTAACCACTCAGCCACGGGGCTGGCCCCCATCCTCTACCTCTTGACTCAGCCACTCTCATTAGGATCAAAGTCCCCACTTCAGTCCCCCCACTGCCAACTGCCCTCTCCGCTCCCTACGCCATTCCTCATACACCTGCCAAAGGCATTTTTCTAAAATGCAAATTCTCCCACCTTCAACCTTCCAATGGCTTTCCAGCACCCATAGCCTCATGTCCCACCCCTAGGATGGCATCTAAGGAGGCCAGCTCTCCAGCCTCCTCTGGGCTTTTTTCCACCCCCACACTGGGTCAGGCCCCAGAGCTTCCCCTAGTCACCCTTTATAAGAGGAGCACCCTGCTTTCCTTGCCCACCCAGCAAACCCCTCCTCATGGTTTGGCCCAGTCAAGAACACACTCCTACTCACTGTCTAGCCTCCTCTGCTTCTCACCTCCTCCTCCACCCCGACTCCTCAGGTCCCCAGGAACCTTATAATGCCACTATTATTCTACCATAGTTACATGTTCTCATGTAGGTCTCCCCTACTAGCCTGTGAGCTCCTTGGAATAGCTTCAACTGTTGCTGAATGAATGAATGAATGAATGAATGAACAGGCAAAATCTCCTATAATCATGGGAACTTCACTGTTATTTATTAGCATGAAAATACATCAGTTAAGAAAAGGCCACCCTTTTTCCATGGGCACAAAGGACACGGGGAGATTTTAAACCCAATATACATACCATAAAGTACGGCTAGACATAGCCACCAACAATAATAATAATAACAACAATAAAAACAACAGCCATGACAGCAGCTAATATTACTTACAACATGCTAGGCCCTATGCTACATGGTCTGCACATATCTTGGCTTCACAAAGTGCCACAATGAGCCCCACTTTCTAGATGAAAGAAGAGCCTCAGAGAGGTTATGCAACTTGCCTAAGGGCCCGACTGGCGAGCAACAGCAACAGAGCCAGGAACGGAACCTCGGCTCTTAACGGTTATCTGGGATCTCTCCGTTTCCTAGGACCTTAGGGCTAAAGGAAACCAAGAATCCGAGTTAACTGTGACATCTACTTTCTCTCTAGTCAGCAGCCCCTGCAACCACAGGCGACGACAGAACGACAAGAACAGCTTGTTCTAGATCCGCCGAGGGGTCATTCAGAACCCCGTTTGTGACTACAGTTCCTACAGGAGTCAGGAAAGTGGGTTAGTGCTCCTCGACTCACGCTTTATTTTTTACAGTCGAAAGCGGCTCTCTGTGGGTGTGTGTACATATTACAGTCATCGAGTCATCTGAATGTATTATCTGTCTCCTCACCCCAGACCTCCTTTCTTCCACATCTCAGTTTCTGGCATCGTCACCCACCCAGTTACCCAAGCTAGAAACCCCAAGTCATTTCTGAGTTCCTGCCATTCCCTCATGCCCCCTCATCCAATCGGTCCCCAGGGCCTGTCCATTCTACTTTTCAAAGGGCTCTCGACTCCACCGGGTTCCCTCTGGACACACACTCCTGTGCTGGTTCAGACCCCACTGTCTCCTGCCTACCCCTCTCATTGTCCCAGCCTCCCACACGGTTTCATCACCATTGGCTACATTGTCTTCAGTCTGTTCTCCTGAAACAACAGCCTTGACCATGTCTGTTTTCTGCCTTAAACATGTTGCTGGTTCCCTTGCTGTATAAGACAAATTCCAAGAGTCCCGTGTGGCCTCCTGGGCCATTCCACCCCAGCCTTGGCCCTCTCCTGGCGTGCCCCCTCATGCAGCCCACTCTCTGTCACTCTGGGCTACTGGCCAGCTGCTATCACCCAGATCCTCATTCCCTTTCACGCTCTGCACAGGTGCTCAGCATTTAACACCTCTCTATCTGCACCCAGTGTCTGCAGGTTCTGTGCCAGGCACCACGGGGCAATGAAGAGAATACATACTTAGTGCTGTGCGCTATGTGGGTGCTTCATAAACATCAGTTCACTAAGCCTCCCATCACCCTGATGAGCCAGACACGGTGAGCCCCATTTTATAGGCGAGGAAACTGAGGCTCACTGAGACTCGGTGACTGGCCCAATGGGCACAGCCGCCTTCCCCCTAAGCTGCCAGGAAGCAAAGCCAGCTTCAGATGATTCAGATGCTGGAGTCCTAGCCACACAGAGCTGTAGCTCCAAATTCCCAGCTGACAAGAATAACTCTGAATGAGGGCCGGCTCGGTGGTGTCGTGGTTAAATTCGTACTCTGTTTTGGTGGCCTAGGGTTCACAGGTTCGGATCCCGGGCAAAGACCTAGCACTGCTCATCAAGTCACACTGTGGTAGCATCCCACATAAAATAGAGGAAGACTGGCAACAGACGTTAGCTCAGCGCCAATCTTCCTCAAGCAAAAAAAGGAAGACTGGCAACAGATGTTAGCTCAGGGCCAATCTTCCTCACACACACAGAGAAAAAAGAATAACT